AAAATCTCAACATATTTTTCTTTGGTCAGATACCAGCCTCCAGCTCCTCTGTTCAAATCTGCTCGCCTCAGTCTCCTGATCAAAGCTCCTGCTCGCCTCCCTCGCTCGAGAAACTCCCTCCTCAAAAACCCTTGTACGACAAGACTTCTTGTCCCGAAGCCAGTTTTCTCCCGCACTCTCTCGCTCGACAGGACTCCTCCTACCTGAAATTTTTGCCGCACTCTCTCGCTCGACAGGACTCCTACCTGAAATTTTTTAGATTCGTTGGTTCAGATCGATCTCTTCGCTTAAACTTTTTTTTTTATATACCTTTATTTGAAGCTGTTGAATCTGTTGAAAGCTGGAAGGAAACTGTCTGAGGAATTGAAGTAGTTTTGTTTATGTAGATTCAATTTGGTTTAAAGCTTTCACATGCATTATTTCATCTATAAGATTTGATCTCATGACGGCTGAGCTTAATTTATGTTATAAACACTTGATAATTTATTTACATGCTTACATTTGTTATGTTAGTAGCTCTCCTAATCATAAGGACTGATTTTTGGAGAACTCCGAATAGTTTTTTTTTTTTTTTGCATTGAATCGTGTTAATCGAATTTATGCCTTGGTTAAAAAGATGCAAGTAATAGTCTGATGCACAATTTTATTCATTTGGCAACTGGATCACTGCTTCAAGGTGCTTTTATTGGTCGATCTTGAATAACTTAATCACTGTATATGTGTTGTTTGAGGCTGTTAATCACTATAGAGTGTTGTAGGAAGCTTAAAGGTCATTGTATAAGTGTTGTTTGAGGCTGTCAGTCACTATAGAGTGCGGTATGAGTGGTGTGAGGTGCTGGAATTAATAATTTGGAGTGCTATAAGTGTTATAGGAGTGTTGTGAAGTGCTGGAATTAATGATTTGGAGTGTTATAAGCATTGTAGGATCGCTGTCCAATTTTTGTAGTTGTTGCCCAGTGTCGTAGGAAGACGTAGGACCGCTGTCCAATGCTTCTAGTTGCTGCCCAGTATCGTAGGAAGCTCAAATGTTTTTCTAGTTGCTGCCCAGTGTCGTAGGAAGCTCAAATGTTTCTTAGTTGTTGCCCAGTGTCATAGGACTGTTGTAGAGTGTTGCCCACCACGATTTGGGTTCATAGGAAGCCGCCTAGGAGCTGTCTACCACGATTTGGGTTTCGTAGGAAGCCACCTAGGAGCTGTCTACCACGATTTGGGTCCGTAGCCACCTAGTAGCTGTCCACCATCGTCTAGAAGCAATCTAGTTGCTGCCCACCTCTGTTCGGGTTCGTAGGAAGCCACATAGGTGCAGCCCATTGTTGTTTGGGTTCATAGGAACTCGTACAGGCGCTATTCAAAATTTCTAGCTGTTGTCTGGAGTCGTAGGATCACCGTACATTACACATTTGCTAGTTGCTTACCGGAGTTGTAGGAGGTCGTAGGATCACCATACTAGCTCATTAGTTGCAGTCAATAGTTGGAGAAAACCTTAGGATCACCTGTTTGGAGTTCCTAGCTGTTACTAAAACTTATTCTACTGTTTACTGTTTTCTTCTTTTCTCTGCAAATTATATTGTGTTTTGTGAGTTAAACATGCAACAGGATTAGCAGCAGCAGATACGCCACGTACGCAGGTACATTTTATTTGTTGTTGTTTCTTTATTGCAATTACTCTTGTTCTAACATAGTATGCAGGTACTGAATTCAATCTCACTTTCAAAATAAAATGATTTTTCAAAATTAAACAACATTTTCAAAACAAAAAAAACAACATAATACGTTCTTTCGAATTTACGGTAGTCCCTCAGAGGAGGTAACCCACGGTTGCTAACGAGATCTCTCCGGTTTACCTACGAGAAAAACTAGACCTCACGAAAATTGAGGTCAACAACCGGAATGATGGAACCTGGGATCCTAACTGGTGTCGCTCTAATCAACTTGAACCCTCTCAATGACAACCAAACTGAGACATTGAAACACACTGGTAAAATTGTTTGAACTTTAGACTTTAGGACTGTTACTTCGACGAGAAACTCGGAGTAACTTCGTGAGCAGCGCGATAAAGAGTTTGGAGCGGACTACAGGTGGAGGTGGTCGTCATTCTATAACAGCAAAATGAGTCTTCATCAGTTAAATTTTCTTAGCTTAAACAACCCATAGGACTTCGAGGTAGCTCGCCTAGCGCAATATAATTTCTCACCCTCTTTTAGGCCCCTGCACAACCATGTTGTGTAGCGTAAGTCCTAACTCACCTTAGGTTCCGAGGTTATTGTCCAGAACGACGTAAAACCTCTTACCTCTGCGGGCTATTTGCATAATCAGTTATTATGCAAATATAAATCCCAAATAATAAAATTGACAGGATTCAACATTCAAATAAAATCCTCTCTAAAACACAGCCACACATTAGGACAGTTTGGGAAGTCACTGAGGATCCCCCTTTGGATCTGTGATACCCCCTACCTTTTACTTCCTTTGGACTCCTGAAAGAATTGTTCTTACTTGAATCATTCCCACTTGTTTTTTGATCTTTGAATTCTTGAAGAGTAGAACCACTGATCATTATCGAGAGTTTTCTCAAGTGACTCACATCACTTGGGATATAATTAATTATAGTGGTTTGCCCCTATAGAGAACTTGAAACTCAGGTAAAATAAACTATATTTAATCTTTGTATTAAATAGGAGAATTTGTCAGTCGCATAAAGATTTGCAGACTAAATGGATGTCACAAACCTCGTAGTTTGTATGATTTGATCCACCGCTTGTTTTCTTGCCCCCCCCGCCGCGGGATACACTTATTTTTCGAGAAGGTGTATCATTCGTGGTACCGGGCACAATTATATAAATTATTGGGCAAATGAGATTCAGTCGGTCTCATTTTTCAAAATTAAAATACACTATTTTCATAAAAGTATATATCTTAAATTATATATATTTTCATAAAAGTATATATCTTTTAGGTTAAATTAAATCATCTACTTTTCAAAACTATAAAAATAATTTTCGAAAGCAAAAAGTTGGCCGACAATACTACAGAAAGGGAAGGTGCAAGCGAGATGACAGGGTTGAGAGAACAAAATATTGATGCGATATTAGGAGGATGATTGAAGCATTTGCTATTTTATTATTTGTACTTTATTCAGTACTATTTATATTTTTTCAGTTTATGTTTATTTTTATTTTCTTCTATATTTAACATTGATTGGGTTTTTTACACTTTTTGTAAGTATTTTTTTTCCATTTGCATTTATTTTTTTTTTTTTTTGTGGTTTAGAGAAGTCAATAATGAAACGATTGTCCGTATGGGTTTTTTTAGATAGTCTGTTAGTCGATGTTGGTTGATGTCACATATGAAATCTCAATGAAGTCAACCAAATTCCTCCCTTCTTTTCGGTGCAGTGTTTTTTGAGATTCTTCTTGAAAGCCTATTTTGGTGATATGTATATGTGACATGCACGAACTTTGTATTATGTGGGTTAAAAGCAACCAAAAATCTTTTTTTGACAAGGTCTATTGTTTTTTTTTTTTTTTGTGACGGATTCGTTAATTGGTATATTTAGTTCTCTGAGACATCACACCTGCACAAAACTGTAATTACTTCTTTTATCAATTTCTACATGTTTATTTTGTACAGTTCATGTTTATTTTCATTCCTTGTATATTTAATATTGATTGTTAAGGTTTTTTATGTTATTCAAATGTGATTTTTTTCATTTGCATTTAATTTGTTTTTCTATTGGTGGGTCTGAGAGGCCAATAATGAGACATTTTGACCTTATGGGTTCTTCTGAATGGTTTGTTAGTCGTTGATTGGTGTCACGTGTGAAATCTTAATACAGACAATCAAGTTCTCCCTTCTTTTTGATAATATTTTTTTATCTTTTGGATGACCTTTTTAAGTGATTTGTATATGTGATACACACGAGTTTGATTTTACGTGGGTTAAAGACAACTAAGATTCCTGTTTTTTATAAGGTTTAATGTATTTTTGTAGTGACAGATTTATTGATTAATATACTGAGTTATCTGAGACCTCACACCTGCAAAAAACTATAATTAATTACTTTTTTGAGTAATTTCAACTCATGTTATGACTTATGGATTGTCATTTGTACCATTTAGGAAAGATGAGCTCTGAGATTTCAGGGACCGCCCGACTATTGTTGTCATTACGAACTTCAGACTTCCCTACTTACATCACGTCAGGCGCATAGCTACGAGAGGCAGCTCTACAGTGCCCGCAAAGAATGACGAAGAAGTATGATTTCTTCCAGTGGGCAGACGGTCTGGCGGATTCCACTGTCGATAATGGTCGGAAATTGATAACATCTCTGGAGGATGGCTTAGCTCATGAAGATCGTCGTCTGTAGTTTAAAATTAATATTATCATATTTTTAAATGTAATCTTAATAATTTTTTTACTTTTTTTAGCAATCTAGATACTCACTATTAAGTGATACGATTATCTGGATTTTTGAATTGTTTTGAAGTGATTTTTGATTTTGAAGTATCATAAAAATAGTTATGACAGTTCGGTTACAAACAGCATTATTACACAGGAGCAGAATGATCATTTGCTCAGGAACAGCTGTCACACAGCTGTTTTCAAATCATAGAAAACAAACTGTCAGCCAACTTATCCGCAGCAGCTTCCCAGGGTAGCTGCTACACAACAGCTTATTGATAAGCTACAGCTGCCCCAAATAGAACCTGTGCCATAAATAAAAACCATGTTCCATTAGGTAATTCATGAGAAAATTCATGTGATCCTCTTTCTGGTATTTAACTGTTAAATAAGTGTCACGCATTACGACAAGCAAAAATATTCTAATATCTCCATCCATTATATGTTTTAAAATTCAAAGGCATAGCTCAGCCTAAAGAAACTCAATAAAAAAGAACCAAGAAGACAAGCTGACCGCACTATGATCTGTAAACACTAAGCGCCATAAACAAAAACCAAATATAATCAGGTAATAAATCCAGTTTAAAGCAAAAAAATACCTTGCACAAACTAACAGTGGCCCAAGTAGAAAGGAATTGTCAACATTCCTCAATTTTTTATCAGTTGGATCTGTGCAATACGCCAACTGAAGATTAAAGCGTGAAAAATAAAAGAAACTCAAAGAGGAAGATTTACCAGCGAAAAAAGTGGGAGAGATGATGGGAGTGCCCCTTTTATGAGCCTGATAGACAAGTGTATACAAGTGTGGCATAAGCCGATAGCGCCTCAAGAGTGCGAGACGGCATACTTCTTCACACTGAAAAAACCAAAAAGCAAAAAGAAAACACTTTAATCAGGAAGTTAAACTATATCATGAATGCCAATTAAAGCTTCTCACAACATTATTTTAGAACTCTAGCCTCTTGCTTCAAACATGAAAATTGTAGCAGAATGGGCAGTTATGACATTGTTGAACGATGGAGAACCTCTTCTCCAAAGGACCAAGGTTCCTGATCGATAGTTCTAGCCTCAGAATGCCCCCGACAAAAAGGAAGCATGGCACCCACGCCCATCCATCTCCCAAAAAGCCGTGGGGTTGCATTACCAGCAAATCCACCAATATCTGGTCCTGAAAATGGCTGACCACTTAGACCCTACAACAATGAGTTAGCCAGAAGAAGTTTCAGAACACTAATTCTCCAAATTCAAATATTCAAGGAGGACATTGGCATATATGCGAGAGAAGGAACATATTAAGTGGAAAGTAATTTGCTAGCGATTTCTAAATGAATCTATTATGCTTATGATGCAAAAAGAAGTTGCCCACTTGTCTGCACGTTTTTTTTTCTTTGGTGAAGAAACAAAAATTTATGACTACTTGCTAAATAAGATGTTTGATAATGGAGTCACATAAGACTACAATGCAATAAGAAGGCACCAGATCAAGCCAATTTATACAAAAGAGAGCAGTGAAACCCAACAAAAGTGGACCAAACCAACTCAGACATCAGCCACAAGCAGAGTGCCAAAATTAACAGAGTAACTTCATTTTGTTTGGAAGCTAAATAAATCTAAGCGTCTAGAAAAACTTTCTTCGTATTAGTGTCTTGATGAGAAATACGAGCTGAGATTTCTTATCCATAGAATCAACAGATCTTCTAAAAGAATGTTGACATTGAACTAGGCTAAAATCATCAGAACTCTCCTAAAGCTGGCTCTGCCACCACCTCTCGGCTCTCCCCTCAAAAGCAAAAGCAGCTAATGTGACCTCCTATCCTGAGGACATGATAAACCATCAATGATTTTCTCTACCCTCAACAACGAGCTCTCCGTCTCAACTGGCCCAACTGACCCTCCTGCTCCTGAGAATAGTGGTAGCCGCATTTCCTGAAACAATTTCAAATATTTATCCATCTAAAATGTTCCAATACCACTAGCCTTGGTCAGAGAAACTTGAATAAATCGTGTCACTGCGACCATCATCTGAGTAAAAGCCTCCATGAGGACGCTAGCACCACTGGATGGAGGACTAATATGTGTTGAAGGCACACGGATCTGTTAAACAACAGCCTTTGCCTCTCTATCATTACCATCTATATCCTCCGGATCGAAATCAATTCACCTAAGACATTTAATTACTTTATAATTATCTTAGTTATTCGTATTATTTTTTCTAATAGTTCTTTTACGGTCACTTTCTTACTGTCCTTAATTGGGCTTTAATATCACTCTTGTCACGACCCGACCCGATGAGCTTGGAATTACCAAGGCGAGAACTGACGGTCAAATGGAGGAAACCTATCTAACAATTTTATTTTATCACAAAAATAAAAACCCAATGCACAAAGAGCCATTGTACACAAAACTTATATTTACAATAGATTGTTCATATTTAAATGTTTACATTTACATTTATACAGAAAATAAACTAAACTGTGACATCAATTATCTTGCGCTCCACAGCGTCTGTACACGTACTCTTTGAAGTTCCATCTATTCTTCAGCTGATTTTCCTGTAAGAACATTAGCAATTATGATTTGAGTTAAAATTACACAAATGATAAATGCTTCTAAATTATAATAATTCTCATTTTTAAAATATTTTTATAAAAATGCAGTAACAGTAAAATTTATGCAGTAAGATAAAAACAATAAAGAAAACAAATTTAATTTCTTTTTATTTACTTAGGTTAGACTATTCCTAATTGGGAGTCATCATCTAAGCATATACTTGATAAAAATATAATTTTAACATTTTCCAACCGCCATAAAGGTACCAATCTTTTCCATTTACATTTTCATTTTCATTTCGTGCATGAGTACAATACAATCTATTGCTAGTACCATTCAGAGGTATTTTCCATTTACATTTTCATTTTCATTTCGTGCATGGGTACAATACAATCTATTGCTAGTACCGTTCAGAGGTAACTCTAACCACCTCCACATGCATGCGTATATCACATTTTATTCATTTTATCTTGCGTTTAACATTTAAAAGTGAACTTGCATTTGACATTTAAAAGAAAACGTTGACTTCTGCACACATTTAAAAGAAAACATTAATTAAATAGGAAAGAAATAATAATTTTTTGAAACTGAACTTTATACCTAAATTTCCTTTCAAACAGGTTTTCTTACGAATGTAGCCTTCTCCACACTTGCCCTAAACAAATATAAACAAGATTTTAATTTATTTGAAATGTGAACTTTATTAACACTAATTAAGATAAAATTTACCTTATTATTCCTCTGCTTGCCCTAATTATAGTCGAACCGAACAATAAGGCTCGGTCGAGCCTTACTTCTCACACAGTGTTACTCCCGCACACAAAGCTCGTGCAACCCCTTCCTTCCTCTCTGATGTCCGAGCTTCTATAGGTCGTTGGAGCCCTCTAGCTCCTCCTTCCTCTTCCACGGGCAACTTGACAGAGAGAATCTGCCACCACCCTCCTCTTCCAGCTCTCGAATAAGGCACAGAAGCTCTCCCCTCTTCGCTTGAGTAGGCCGCTCGAGCCTTCTAGGTACTCAAACAAGCTTCTACTTCTTCTTCCTCCTTTCCTTTGATTCTCGTGGCACTCGGCAGAGCCACTCGAGCTATCTTCTTTTCAATTCGACCACGAAAATGGAAGGAAATTATCGCATCAGGTGAGCCACTCGTCTCCTTCTCCTCTGTTTTCTTCTCTCTTTACTGTTGCTTCTTCTTCTTTCTCCTGTTCTTCTTCATTTGCCTCAATCTCTCGCTCTCACTCCCTGTCTCTCTTGCACTCTCCTTCGTTCTCTGTGTGTGTGAGTTCGAATGAAAGGAGATGAGAAAAAATCCTTACACTCCCATGAGCAGTGCGGTCTCGCACGAATCGTAAAAAGTAATTTAATTATTTTTTTAAATAATTAAGTTAATTATTTATTTATAATTAATATGATTACTTATTTGATTTACTCAAGTTCACAAATAGCGAATGTCATATCATGTATATCAATATATTCACAATCAAAATAATTGCACTTAATAAGAACGTGGTCCTAATCATCTGTGAGTTAGGTTTGGCCCAAAAGCTCCAACAAAATTGTGGTTTTGACCACAGCCCTCTGATAAAGTGGTTGCTATCAAATAACACTACTGACGGCAATCTATATATTACCAAATGGCTTTCTACCATTTGAGTTGAAAGAGTTACAATTGATTGAAACAAAGTCTTATGTTAGCTAAAATTAACTTAAATTTGTCCCCATAGACAAACATCCACCCCAAATCTACAAGGATCCTTTGGACACGCAACCAAAAGTTGCTGACAAGGATTCTTCAGCCAAGTTAGGTAGATTACCTCCTTTGACTAAGAAGAGCAGGAACCACGACGACTCAGGATAACGGAACCATGAGATCTTGATCGGATTTGGCATCAATTCGCTCACTACCCGCTTTAAGCTCGTAGTAATAAATTTTACAATTTAAAATGTATCTTCGCTGCTACTACAAGTTAATTATTGAGTGTTAAATGCTTAGACTTAATCAAAAGTACTCTGTCGTTATCGAGAGAGATAATTAATCAAAAGGGCTTGCGCTCATGTGAAAGCTCATACCCCAAATCAAAAAGTCCTAAAAAATGATGGTAAAATCTCTAGGTAGTGTCTTATCTACAATCCAATCTATCCTGTGAAAATTTGACTCTCAAACCTCTCGACACACAGATAACACACGTCCAAGCCGTCGAAAATTTCGAAGCCACATACACGTAAAACGTAAACCCTAAACTTTTATAGTAGTTAAGTACTTGTCGGTCAACTTTTTCGATTGATAGATTTGAAAATATGAATATGAAAATAATTTTTGAGATTTAATTTAAATATAAAAGATATATAGTTTGGATTTTGAAAGTAGTATGTTTTAATTTTTGAAAAATGAGACCAATAGATTTCATTTGTCCAATAGTTTGCATAATCGTGTCTGATACCGCGAATACTACACCCTCCCGAAAGATAAGTGTAGACCTCGGCGATAGACCCAATCCAGCAAACAAAGAGATTTGTGACATCTGTTTGGTCTGTGAACCTTTTTATGTATGACCGACAAGTTCCCCTATCTAATACAAAGATTAAATAGGGTTTATTTTACCTGGGTTTCAATTTCCCTATAAATGCAAGCCCCTATAATTAATTACATCTCAAATGATTGGAGTCACTTGAGAAAACTCTCAATAATGATCAGTGGTTCTAGTCTTCAAGATTTCAAGGTTTAGGTTTTCACGGTAGGACGTGGAAAAAAAACAAGTGGGAATGGCTCAAGTAGGAACAGTTATTTTAGGAGTCCAAAGAAAAGAAAAGGTAGGGGATGTCATAGATCTTGAGGAGAACCCTCAATGACTTCCCAAACTATCCTACTGTGTGGCTACATTTTTAGAGATGATGTTATTCAATTATT